ATCGCGCAACGCGGCCCCCTCATGGGGATGCGCACCGCGCGCGCGCGCGCTCGGCCGCGGTGCGCGCCGCCGGTCGCGGCGCGGCGCGTGCTCGGCGGCGCAGGTTCGGCGCCGAGTGGCAGGACTGCTGGAAGGAGGTCGGGGGCCAGCACGGCGGCGGCTGGTGCTCCCCGGGGCGCGCAGTCGGCACCATGCACACACAGAGTTGTAACACATGTGCGCGTCGGCCACGCCACGGCGACGCGCGCGCTCGGAAGTCTTGCAGTGTAAGCTCCGCGGCGGGACTGCAAGATGTTGCTCTGTGTGGGCCACTTCCAAACCAGCACCAATCCAACTCGAAGGTCCCAGATCCCTCCAAAAATTTCGGGTTGGGGTGTGGACGGCTTCCACTTTCCCTCGATGTTCCAGAGGCCCCCCCCACTGGAAATTGGCAGGCCCGACGGCGACTTCGGGCTGGGTTGGGATGGCTTGGTGTGCAGTCATACGTCTGGGTCGGACGTGCGTTTCCAACAGAGACACACAGTGCTAGCATGTCCTCCTGTGTCCCATGTGTGGCGGGGGCAGCTGGGGGATCGGCGCCGTCCAACCGATCCCCATCCCCACTTGGGCCATGGCATCCCTCGGAAGAGGAGCGGGCGCCCACACCGCTACCCTTCTCTCGTCGCCATGGTTGGCTTCGCCTCGAAATGCTGGTCAGAGCGCACCCCTGGAGAGGTCTGTGGAGTGGTGGCATCGGTACTCGCCAATCTGGCCCGAGGGAGGAGGGGGAACGGGGGAGGGGAGGAGGAAGGGAGAGGAAGGAGGGGGAGGGGAGGAGGGGAGGAGGGAGGAGGGGAGGAGGGAGGAAGGAGGGGAGGAGGGAGGAAGGAGGGGAGGAGGGGAGGAGGGGATGGCCCCAGCAGCCCACTCCCCCAGGTGGGGGGTAGACCTCGCGAAGCCCGAAGGGAACAGACATGTCCCCACCCAGGCGGGTGAAGTCGGCAAGTGGGGCGAGACCCTCGCGAGTCAGCCCGCACGCGGCGGTAGCGACGGCAACTTCCTCGCATCATTCGAGGAACGAAGAACGACATAAAATACACAAGCTCGGAGGTCCGCGCGGATTTCTCGGATCGGCGCTGGGGCCCCCTGGCGGCGCCTCTGGCGCCGCCCCTGGCGCGCTCCGCGCGCCAGGGAGGGGGGTCCAGCGCCGATCCGAGAAATCCGCGCGGACCTCCGAGTTCTTATGTTTATGTCATTCTTCGTTCCCTGAATCATCGACATGCAGGTGAGTAAGAGCCTCTTGGTGCAGGCGCTGTTCGGGTGAGAGCTGACAAACGAAAGCAGCGCGCACGCATGAGCTCGTATTGCGAAGGCCTTATGGCCAGTGCTGCCGACCCTGAAAAGGCGGGACCTCCCTCGGGACCCCCGCTGGAGCCCCCCCGGGACCCTCCTGGACTCTGGGGGGGGGCGCGGCTGCAGGGACCCCTCCCCGCCCGGCAGGGAAGGGATACAGGGAGATGGATCGACTTAATTACGACGTTCCTTTTCCTTGTTCCTTAACTTCCTTGGAACTGCCGACGACGACGACGACGACGACGACGACGACGACGACTTAAACGGAAAAGCGTTTCACACACGCCGTCGGCGAGTTTGTGGTGGTTCTATCTGCTCAGAACGGGGATCAGTACGGTTAAGAATGCGATTGCATGTGCGAGTGCTGATGCGAGCGGGAATGCTGACTTGAGTGTTCGTTCGGGTGTGTTCACGATTGTGAAACTGAGCGGGGAAAAACAACTGGCACGACCGCTACGAGGCACAAAATAGCAATGTCGAACAAAGCTGCTGAAAAACAACCATTCTTCTCCTCCTCCCCCGCTCGGGTGGGACAGGATGCACCCGAAGCAGTTGAGATGGATGCCGAGCCACTACCGCCAGGCCCTCCTGTATGTTGTGCACCTCTGGGAACGCAGGCCAGCGGGGTGCTCCTTGTGGCTGATGCTAGTGGTCTTCCTGCCCAAGCCCCCGCAAGGAGGGGTCAGGCCGATCACCCCGGCCAGGCTGTGGACGAGGGTGTGGTCGAAGCTCCGCCAGCCCCTTATGGCCAAGTGGGAGCAGCGGACCGACTCCTCCGTCCACTGGGGCAGCGCAGACAGGACGTGCGAGAAGGTAGGGAGGGTTCACGGCCTGACCACTGCGTATGCGAGGAGGAAGGCCGAGTTTGCCGCCAGCACGTGGTGGCGGGGTGCTCGTGTGCGGTGGGAGTTGCCAAGCTGCTCGCCAACGCCTTGCCGAAGAGGATCGTGGCCAGGTGCTCGATCGCCCGCGCGCAGGGCCTGGCCGACGACTGCTTGCCCCAGGTCGTCGGGACAGCGCGCCTGGTGGCCGAGCAGGTGCCTGCGGCGGCCCAGGAGCTCATCGCGGGGCTGCAGGAGCGTCGCCTCGAGATCAATTGGGTCAGGGCAGGCTTGCTGGCCACGGACGCCAAGGCCGCCTCGGATCTCAGTGAACGCTGGGCGTCCGCAGGGCTCCAGAAGCACACTGGGCTGCGGTGCCCCGGGGGCGACGGCAACGACAGCAGCCGACGTCGGGTGCCCGAGCACAGCAAGAGGTTGGGCAAGGCCCGCGAGGCGGCCGCCAGGATCGAGCTGCTGCAGTCGGCTGGGGCCAAGACGTGCCACCTGTTTCGTGAGTCGCCGTGCGCCACGGCGGTGCGGGGCTCGGCCGTCATTGACATCGCCGACGGCAAGCTGCACGGGCTGAGGGCCCACGCGTTGAGGGCTGGTGGTGTGCAGGCTGGAGACAGCCGCATGGGCGACGGCGGTCGGCAACGGGCTGATCAACAGGGCAGTGCTGACCGAGGTCCACAGGCACGGGCTGGAGATTGTGTCGAGACGCCGTCCCTGGACCATGTGCACTGACCCAACCCAGGCAGCTGTTTCCACCTTTTCTCGAATAGGCAGTCAGCTGCACCAGCATGACAGCCTCGCTGACCACTTCGGCAAAGAGGTGGACCTTTTTTTTTTGCTTCGCTTCTTGAGCCATGTGGCCCGCCAGGCTGCGCAGGCGGCCTCAGACGTCATGGCTCTGCGTCGGCTTCAGGCCCCGTGGGTTGCAAAGATCCATTGGGGCCCCGTGCTGGCCGAGGTAGCGAAGTAAACCTTGGAAGTGTGGTGCAAGAGGCATCAAGATGCGTTTCGGCCCGTCAGCGCTGGAACGCACTGGTGCCAGCAACGCCTTTTCCTTGCTTGCAAGGCCGCCGACCCTCTTTCTGCAGGCAGTGTGGATGCGCAGGCCCGGTGTGGCACAACTTTTTTGAGTGCCCTTGCTCTGCTGTCGTAAGGAGGGAGGGGTGCTCTGCCGATATGCTTGAGACTACCAAGAGGGTCGTTGCCAGTGGGCCGCAGCAGGCTGAATTGCTTGCGCGCGGGATCACGCCCTCGCCAGAACACTGCTTCGGCCAGGCTGAAGTTGCTGAGGTCGAGCAGTGCAGGTTTGTTGGATGCATGCCTGGATGGATGTTCTCGGGAGATGTGTTCGTGGACGTTTCGTCGTTCTTCACTTCCCACGGGGTCCTGCGCAGGGCGGGTTGGTCGGCCGTGTGTAACAATGATGACGGCAGTTCCCGCTGGTCCATGTACGGAGCTGTCCCCTTGGCCCGGTCCCCGAGTCAGAGCTCGAAGGGCGCTGGGGATTTCGCTTTCTTAATGCTGTACAAGTTTTCTGCCAAGCCCGACCTCGAGTGGCCCTTGTGTTTTTTGTTGTTACTATCATTGTTATTACTATTCGTATCGTATTAGGACTCGTGTTATTGTTAGTGCTACTCTTTTTATTATTGTGCTGTTAGTATTATCATCATCATCATCATCCTTATTTTCAGTAGTATTCGTATTCTGTTTGTTAGTTTTATGTGTAGTCTTGTTATTATTGGTCTTGTGCGGGTGCAGTCGGCTGCGCCACGAACCCGAGAAACAATCCCTGTTCCCGTCGAGACCCCGCCGTCACTTTTGGACTGCAAGGCCGCCCGGCGACGGTATGCAATGCTAAAGCTCGCATCAGTGCCAGCGATGACTCCTCCTTTGCCGGCACTTGTTGTAGATTTGGCAACGCTGCGGCAAACACCTGGGCCAACAAAGGAGCTGGCCTCTGGAACGTGGACGCCCCTGTGCAGATCATCCTGTTTACAGAGGCTTGCGAGGCGCGTGCCCAGGCGCTTGTCAGATGGGTAGGCCGTGTTAATTCGTGGCTTGTAGACCAGGGTATGACAGATACTGGCGGGGTGGTTGTAGGTAAGGGGCCCGAAAACGAAGTGGCCACCTTCAATGACGCTCTCGAGGTTCGTGAGCACCTAGGGTGGAAAAGCTATAGGTTGTTTCCCCGCGCCCAGAGGACGGGGGACAGGGTGGAGTTCGGGGCGGGGGAGATCAATGGCACGCCGTGGCTCGTTGAAGGGTACTCTGCTGTGGCCTGTGACGTTGGTGGTGGCGCCGATGACCACCCGACCCTGTTCTTTTACGTGCGGGGCCTCGCGGCCAAGTGTTTAAGAACCCAGCATGCGGGTCTCAAGTCTCAGCGCTCTCGCCTCAGGCGCCGCCTGCGCCCGTCTGTGCTCTCGCCTTTGGGGCTCTCTGGGTTCAGAGGAGCTGGCGAGAGAGACTGGGAATGGCTGCGCGCGAGGTTGTCGGGCTCCCCTCTTGCCGTTCCGTGAGGGCCTCCTGGGGGCGGTCCTGGGGCCGATATGGGGGACCCGAGGGTGGTCCCGTGGGCGGGCCCGCCTGGGTGGTTGGGCGCGGGTGCCCTGGGGGGGCCCGGCGGCCCCTGGAAGTACGGGACCGGTCCCCGTGCTCGACCGCTTCAAGGTGGCCTCCTGTATGGTTTCTCCACGCCCGATTCGGCGGTCGAATGGGCGCATTGGGCTCCGTCGAAGCCGCAGGGATGTGGACGAGTTTTGGTCCCTGTCTGGGGCGGCAGGCCGCGAGCCTTTCTTGTGCCATTGGTCCTTGCGCCCTTGCACCCATCCCCCCTCGGGCGTTTCCTAGGGCGCGCCTTGCCAGAACTCCGCGGTGGATCCCGCCCACCCACAGGCATCCAAATTCATAGATGCTCAATCCTGGATCCTCCTCCTGCCTCCCCCCTCCTCCCGCTCCAGATCCGCTGCATTCCGGTCCCGGGATCCCCCTTCCTGGCCGCCCTCCCACCACTGGGATCGCTATCTGACGGTCCCAAGGATTGAGGATCGAATCTTTTCCGCGCGCGTCCATTTGTCCCTGGAGGTCCCCGGAGGTCCCTGGATGCACCCATAGGCCCAGGAAGTCCCATAATCATGCGGACAGCTCGATCCTTGAGCCTCGATCCTCGAACCTCGCGACGTCGACTTCGATGCCCATGTCGACGTTACGACGTTACGACGTTACGACGACGACGACGACGACGACGACGACGACGACGACGACGACGACGACAACGACGACGACGGCGGAGGCGGCGGCGGTGGCGTCGGCGATGGCGACGACGACGACGACGACCAGAGGACTGGGCTCCAGAGGCCTCTGGAAGCACCCAGGTTTCCAGATGCCTCGGGAGGAAGGAAGGCCGACGGCGCCGGCCCCTCCCCGTCTGGCGAGCGCGGGGCGGTCCAGGTACGAGCAGCCCGCGGATGACGCGGGGTGCGGCGGCCAGTTCGACCCCTACGGCCAGTGGCACCAGGGCTACGCGCACGGCGGGCCCCGCATGACCGAGTGCGCTCCACTACTCGCAAAGTGCCTGCTCGCAAACGTCAGAAGAAAACATGTGATGTTCGATGCAATGGGCGTTGTTTGCCTCGTTGCAATGGATCCAGACCATTTGCGAGCAGCTACTCCGCGAGTGGTGGAACGCGCTTGTCCACAGCAGGGGAGGAGGCGGGCCGAGAAGAGGGCGAGGGTGGGGCACCCCCGCGCGATAGTGGCAGCTGCATGTACTTGGGTCCTTCGCCCGGATGATTGTTGTTGGTGGTTGGCTCGCTATCTTTCCGAAGGGAGTGCTTTTCCGTAAGCAGACCCTTCCCTGACCAATTGGCGGCTTTCTCTTGAGGGCCAGATCTGTCAACGTGCCGGCGCTCCCAATCTCCCATCGTCATCTACTGGTCTCCTCGTCCTCATCGTTGATGCATCTTGGTCTTACTCAGGTTCTCCTCCTCCTCCTCCTCCTCCTCCTCCTCCTCCTCCCTCCTGTGCTCGCGTCCCTGGGGCTCACGCCCTGCCCCTGGGGTCCCACGCGGCGGGGGCTGGAGCTCGATGAGAGCAGGAACCAGAGGGCCCGCTGTGAGTCGAACTGGTGGTGCATTTCTGCAGGGGCCCGCCTTCGCCCGTGTCAGTCCTGCACTTTACCGTTTACTTGTGTCTGTACTGTATTGTCGACCATGGCGCCCGGGCAAGGCCTCCCAGCTTCATCAGCGTCGCTCTCCCGAGCTTCCCGCCGCGCAGTTGTATGGCGGCATTCGCGCTTCAATGGTAGCAGTCGAGGCTTGGTGCCCGCTCCCATCCCCTCCTTCGAAAACGAGAAACGGACCTTCCCGCCGCGCCCGCGTTGCCGACCGCCCCCCCCGCCGCCGCAGTGATCGCCCAAGGAGGAGGAGGAGGAGGAGGAGGAGGAGGAGGAGGAGGAGGAGGAGGCGGAGGAGGCGGAGGAGGAGGCGGAGGAATAGGAGGAGGCGGAGGAGGAGGAGGAGGAGGAGGAGGAAGAGGAGGAGGAGGAGGAGGAGGAGGAGGAGGAGGAGGTGGAGGAGGAGGAGGAGGAGGCGGAGGCGGATCGCACTGGGAGCTGTCCCGCCCCCTCCCCCCTGGGCTTCCAGGGGGCCGCCGCACCGCCCGCCGAGGCGGGGGCACCGTACAGCTGAGCGGTGGCACCGCCATGGTCCGCGCGGGCTCCGCGCGCCCCCTTTCGCCCGCCGCCGGCCGGCAGCGCGGGGGCCGGAGGCGGCCGTGGTTGGCCACGCCTGCTGCCTCTCTCTCGGGGGGGGGGGGAGCGGCCGCTGTGCTGCTGTGCTGAAGCCTCGGGGGGGGCCCCGCCGCGCGCGCCTCGCAGGCGGCGTGTTCTCCCCCGGCCCCCGACTCTTCGACGAGCGGTGGCGCCGCTCAGAGGAGGGAGGATACTCTGGGACACACCCCAAGGGGGCTCTTCGGACGCACCACCATCGAGGATGGGCGCCCCCGCCGCGTAGAGCCCAGGGCTGGGCCCCGAGTGTCTGTGGTCTGGTCGAAAAGCCCATGACGCCTGCGATAAGGGGTCGACATATCCCCTGTCAGCGCAGAGAGGGGTGGGGGCGGGGGGACGGTTTCTTAGAGCCACCCCTGCTTTTTAGAAGGCGCGGGCCTTCTCTGTCGATGAAAGGCCGGCGCCTTCCAAGAAGCAGCCTCCTGAGGAGCCTTCCCGTCTCCCCCTACCCCCTTGTGCGCGCCGCCAATTGGAGCGGTCGTTCTTTTGCGCTGCATCTGCGGGGGACTTCGTGCGCGTGGTCGGCGAGGGATCGGCGTGGAGTCGGCTTGGGTAATTGCGATGTGGATCCGCCGTGGCATCGACACGAAGTCGACGCGCTCGACAAGGGTTCGAAGCGGGTTCAACGCGGATAGCGGTGCAACGTGACAGATCAGGTCCCCCGACGATGCCACGCAAGGTTTCCGGACGTCTTCGTCGGTATTCGGCGGATATCCCTTCGGGCTGGGCGGCAAGTTTTCGGCCCTGTTCGTCGGTCCTCGGCGGTCTTCCAGCCTCGGGATGCTCTCCAGCAGCCTCGTCTCGCCGAGAGCGTTCCGGGGCTGCCCAGCTCGCTTCGAGCGGTCGCTGGACACCCGAGCTGTGACCCGAGAGCCGGACGGCGCGGAGAGCAGGGCACCCAGGCCAGGATCTTGCAGACCTGGACTCTGCCAGACGCTGCTGGAGGAGGAGGGACGGGGAGCGTGTCGGCCCACGGCCGCGCTTGTCTCCGGCGTGCCCGGGGGGGAGGGCTTTTCATGGCGCCAACATCGCAGATCGAGTTTCGGTCGGAAGACGATCGGATGGGCCCGGAGTGTCCTGGAGAATTTCGTTCCGGATTTCGAGGGGAATTTCGTGCGGTTTTTTTGGGGGGCCAGGAATGAAGACTAAAAAGTTCCACGCGAAATTCACTTTGTTTTTCACTCGCCGTTTCGGGGTTTCGCATTGGCAGAAATCCACGCAAAATTCCGCTGCAGCACGTCTGCAAGGTCGGTGCAGTGAGGTAATCCTCCTCCTCCTCCTGCTTCTCGTCCCCGCTCCCTGACTCCTCCTCCTCCTCCTCCTCCTCCTCCTCCTCCTCCTCCTCCTCCTCCTCCTCCTTTGCTGTCCACTGCCTCCCCCCTTATCCCCCCTCCCCCCATTCTCCCCTCCCTGCTCCCACTCTCTCGATTTTCCCACTTCTCTCCCTCCCCCTCGCCTACCCTCCTTGTCCTTTTCCCTTCCTCTCCCGCTTACGCGTGGGGGGGGAGGGAAGGAGACAGCATCGAAGCAGGAGGAGAGGAGGGTGGAGGAGGGACCGGATGAGTAAGATGAGGAGGATTAGGAAAAGAGGTGTCCGTTGGAGGCGGAGGAGGAGGAAGAGGAGAAGAAGGATGAGGAGGAGGAGGAGGAAGAGGAGGAATA